GTTCTAATAGATGCAGTACATAAAATTATCAAATCAATCCAATTTGTCACATTTGTAGGATCATAGTACACATTCTTTTTATTTCCATAAGAAAAGATCTTATCAAAACAAAGCATCTTACACTTTCAATGTGGTTTCAGGTTGATTCACATTATTACAGAATTCACAATTGACTGTTGTCCAAAAAATTAGAATGCGAAATACGAATTATTAGTGCACCTTGTCATCGGCTTCCCCGAGGGGAACTTTGTATTGAATCGCGGGGACTTTGTATTGAATCCTCCCCCAGTCCCTGGGGAAATTGTGATGCACAGGAAAACAGTTTGAAAACCTTTTTAAAGAACACTAGAATTCTTTATAATGATGTATTTTTAGTAAGACGCTGGCTACGAAAGATTGTAGATCGTTTTAGAGGTTTCGTATTGATACCTATATTGGGATTCCTGTGTCAAAATAACGGAGGAAAACTTGTAACTACTATCATCCAAGATAGCGAGTGGAGGTCGTAAAAGAGGGCGATTTGTTAAATATTAATCCATTTTATTTGTGGACAAATTATCCCATCTGCCAATTGTATGGCATAGAAAGAAAAGATTAAATATTTATGTCTCATTATACAGCCATGCTTGTTTCACGGTTAAATGAAAATGACTCTTGAAATAGTATGGCTTATATTTACATTTTGATAATTTTTTGATTTATGTAATTTTGCCTCCATTTTAAAATTTCAATCTGGGCTCCACAGCCTTGGAAATCCCTGCATTTAACATYAATGGTGTACACTGTAATACAAATGAATATAAAGTCAAAAGCGCCATATTAGGCCATCTTGAAATGTAAATTAATACTAATAAAACAGCAACAGACAAAGAATTCTGTTTGTGTCTTCGTTCTAATTCAATCTGCAGTCTGAATATACAATTRTCTGTTTTCAATACAGAAAGTCTGAAATGTGAAAGAAGCTGCATTAATAAAGATTGTCATAACCTAATCTTTGCTTGGCTACATATACACATATTATTGTTTGTAGGCTATGCAAAGCTAAAAACAACTCATGATTATTAATTAAACTACGCCATGAATTATTAGCCGGCAATACGAAGTTAAAAAAATTGTCATCTAAACAATTACTTACACCGAATTACATGTTGAATTAGGATATGTTTTTAAAACGAGTTGGTAATTGTGGCTAATATTGCAAAYTTTCAGARTYATAAWATAACATCAAAAGCACGGTAGCCGGGCGGTATTTAGCTTAAAGGGAMACTGTCAATGGATGACATGCGCRGTAACAGTCTCGCCTCTAACGGACTTTGAAAGTATRACCTTCGAGGAAAATCATTTTGTGGTGCTTTTGACACACTTTGGAATATTCTAGATCTGTTTACGTTTACGAGCTGATTTATGTCGCGCCAACTTGGAGTCATAAACTTGAAAATACTTGAAAACATTAGCCTAATGTTTTCAAGTTTACTCGCGCATGCGTGCCATTGACAGTGTCGCTTTAATGCAGAGGGCAACAGTAATAGAAGATCATTCGTCAATATGAGTGCGGCGGAAAATATCCACACTACGAATAGAAGGCGAAATCTAAGACAACACATTGAAAAATATTCTGGCAACACGACCTTGCATGGAGCWCATTTTGTTCTCGGTGCTGACAAAGGGATAGTGCGTCGAGTTTTYTGGTTGCTCTTGATCCTGACAGGTTTGGTGTTCCTGACAATTCAACTGGTCGCAAGTTACGAGCAGTTGAAATCAAACGACTATGTGATTACCAAAGATAT